CAATCAAAAAATGATGTTAGTGCTGCATCCTGTCTGATAAAAGAGCTCAGCAAACATCCAAGCCATCATGATGGTACTGCTTTCTGTCCCCTCCCCACTTCTCTGTCCATCCTTTCCTATCCTGACACTTTGAAACAAGGCATTGAATGATTCCTTTTCAAATATTTTTTTTTCTCTCTGAATTATTATGTTTTTACAGTATGGTATATTTTATAATTAAGATTAAATATTTTGTGGAATTGTTTTGGTTTTTTTTCCTCTCTCAAAACAAAACAGAACCAAAGTTCAAATTTAGAAATGCCGTGAAAGAGGGATTTCTGTTCTCTGTATAGATGAATGTAACTATGATCAGAGAAAACTTAGAACAAAAATGCTCTGGATATATTGAGGTAGATTTTTCACCAGAAATCATTTGCAGAAATAAAGGTAAGTTGATTGTAATCACTTGGGTATTTCCTGTAGCTGAAGTTTTACTCTATTTATTTCTGTTGTAGGTTCATTGGCACAAAAAAGATTAAGGAAGCAGTTAAAAAAACAAACAAACAAAAAACCCACAAAAAAAGAGCAGCAGTATAGCCAGCCACTTAGTAGTGGGTGCTTTATTTTCTCCATAATATTTTCAGAGTGTTTGGGGGAGTAATTTCAAACAGTCAAGTCAGAGTCCATTGAGAATTGATTTTTGTGACCTCACATAGTGTAACAGAAAATTATAACAGGAAATAAACCATTAAGTGATAAACAAGGAAACATGGATACAATTACTTTCAGAACATAATTTTATTCACTCTAGTTTTGAAAATGAAGAGATAGTACTGACTGGAACACCTCAATTCTGAATGCAAACTGTACAATCTATTATATTAAACAAAGTCAAAAGCAATGTGAAAGATCTTGAATCTATTCAAGGCATGCACCTCATTACAGACTTAGCAAATTAAAACACAAATAGGATTAGAAAAGAATAATGTAACAATCTCCCACCATGGTCCCTGGAGCATTAAGTCATAAATTGGGTTTGCATTAAATTGTGCCTGCAGTATTGAATTCGGGGAAAGAGCTATAGGCTGAAGATAATCCTTGCTAGGCTGGCCAACTTTGGTATGGCTGTGTAATTTCATAAATACACAATGAATCTGTTGGAATCTAAAAAGGCACATTCAACAACATGTATTTCATATCTTAATTAGAAAACGCAGATATGGGGTAGCAATCTCTGGCTGCAAGAGGTATAAGCCCAGCCAAAAGCTGCAGACATTTGAAATTGTCACATCACCTGGAGTTGTTTTTCAAATACGGTAGTTCAGCACTTCACTGCATCACCAGCTGTGTTAAACTACACAAGTTTTCAGGTTTGCAGAAAGCTCTAGTGTGCCATGAGCTTCTTTTAGGTGGAAGAAACAATCTTAACCCAAAAGAGCCGAGAGAAGCTGGGTTTCCGATACAAATGCATTCTGTTGTTATGGGAACTAAAATGGTGAGCGACGTGAAAAGGATCCTCTGCTAACAAAGACAGGCTTGATGATATTATGGCAGTAGCTATGCAAAAAGCAAATATATCTGCAGGAAACAAACAGAGCTTCTCTTCCAAGAAGATGCACATTCCTGCCTGAAAAGCATTGATTCTAAAGAGAGCTGAATTCAACCTTTCTGTGACCCTAAACAAATTACTGTGTAATAGTAGGAATTAATTTACTTAATTTTTCTTTAATAAAGGCTTTATCCTTCAAAGGTATATTATTACTGTCATCATCCTCATAACTGTCATTTAGGGGATCGCTAACAGCAGCTGCTGTGGCTAAGGTGCCAGTCATTTCACAGCACAAAAGAGTCTTTGTGTATTATTATAATAAGGATTTTTTGTACCTAACTATTTTAGGGATTCTCACGCCTCCATTTGTCTGTGGCAGAATTTCACAGTTTGGTGGAGAGGAAGCCCTAAAGCTGGGGAACTGTCTTCTTTAATGCATTTTCCTCAACTTTTGCTGCTATAAACTGCCAATATCTGCTATTTCCCTCCACTGCTTTGCACTTTGCAGAACCACACCAGCAGCATGCTAACACAATAACACAGCCCATCGGTATTTTAAGTCCAGTCTCACAGCCACTGCCAAAAGAGCACAGGCTGTCTCTTTTGGGAACACTTGGGTTTTAATAAAGTGGGGGGGGGGGGGGGGGGACGGGAACTTCATGAAGTGATGGGGAGTGCTAACACCAGGAATTGGTGCAAATTGATGGTCTTGCACAGCCTGCTTATAAGCAGTGGAATCCCGGGACATTCATGCCTTCTCTCAGGCAGCTGCAACTATGCCCAGCCCCAGAGAAGTGGCTGCTGAAGAACATCTTCAGTCCATAAGAGTACTTCTACACTGAGTGTGCTGGGATTTCTTCCCCAGCCCCAGGTCACAAAGAGCACGCAAGTCCTGGGGAGTTTACCAGCCCCTCATTTTAGGTAAAGTGAGGTTTTACCCTGTGCTAAGGTGGAGGAATCTGCTCTCTCTCCTCTCAGTCTGCTGGCTAAATACAGCTGCATCCTTCCCTTGGCTCGCAGCTCCCTTCTGGAGCAACCTTTTAACATTTTTCTTGATTTTCTTAAACAGCAAACATTAGACACATTAAGAACAGCAACAACAAAATCGTTAAGCACTATAACATTCTCCGAGGAGCCAGACGTATCCTTTAATCAGGTTATGGAAAATTCATTCCTCTTCCAGCCATTTATCTTCTTTGTTTATGCACATACAGAGTGACCCACTTCTCAGCATAAAAAATAATAACAAAGAAACAACCAAAAATTCTTAATTATTTATGGACTTACGTGCCATTTATTTTGCTTTATTGGAAACCAAATAATCAAGTTCATTCATTTCAATTAAACATAGCATGTGCTAACTGTCTATCATTCTGTCAGTGAATCCTGTTCTCTCGCTTCAAAGTCACTACTTGACCTCAGTGGGGAAAAGACTTGGTATTGCACTTTGTTCTATAGTGATTGATTGTTTACATTAAAAGGGAGATGCATAGATTAAAATTAGAGGTATGCTGTGTTTTTCTCCCTGAGACTGCCTACAGCTTACATCTTCCCTACAGGTGCAAGGGTGGCAAATCCAGCTTAATGTAAGTCCCTCTGATGGAAGTCATAGTTTGGAAGCTAAACCAAATCTTCTCCAAAATGACAAAATCAGAAGACACGGTCTCATTATTTCACTGAAATTTCAGATTAACTGATTTTTTGTTGTTCTTGGCAAAACTATTCATAATGATACCCGTTTGATGGGAGAACTACAGGAGGGTGAAATAGAAGTACACGCTGCAAAAAGTGCTGCATAAACTTAACGATAACAAGCAAAGTTGTTCATTAGTATAGGCAAGGATGCTTCTCATTTTAAAGAGGCTATATTGTGTTTTAACTCTCAATTAGTTGCTCAAAATTGACATGGATTAGGAATTACAAAGCAAGCCATAATGGAAATAACACAGCATTGAAAAAAATCATTACCAGCATGGAAAAAAACCCAAACAATTAAAACTGTTCATTTAGCCTGAAAAAAATGTATTTTGTTACATTCAATGCTATTTTATTTCTTTGTTGGAATGTATTGGAAAATGAGATTCAACACTTACTTAGCTTTACCACCACAAAGCTAACTAAGTAGGAAGTATCTCTCAGAGGCTGTTAAGAGGACATCTTACCGTGCTTAGAGAAGACGGAAGAAAGATCAGAGGAGAATGTCAGGGGGATAAAAATAATAGAACAAGGATCCCAAAAATACAGGAAAATAAGTAGGAGAAATGTAGATCATCTTTGCCAGCATAGATGATGTAATTGCTGAACTGATGCTAGTAGGTTTTAACATCGTGTCAGTGGTATTAACGCTACTTATGATTTTCTTTTATGCTTTCTGACACATCCCCACAAGTGCACACTTTTGGAAACCAACCACAGAAGATGGCAAAGTATTTGCCACAGGGACTGGGCTGGCAGGAACCCAGTTAGTCTCTTTTCTGCAGTAGGAATTTGTCATTTCAGGATCCAAAGAATGTTTTGAGTGGATATATTTTCTATTTATATTCTCTGAGTTATTACAGGGTATGAATGTCAATAATACATAAGCACATCACAAACAGACTCAGCAAGTTCTACCTGTTCTGCCCCAGGAGAGCTACCACTCAAACAATATCTCAGCAGTGGGGTGACAGTTCTCCCTTGGGGGGGACAAGAGACAAATCCCTTCCACTCCACAAGCCCCCTGGCCTGCACCATCTGATGAATTTATGGGCTCCAATACTTTAGGTGCATATAATTTAATGTATTGCTGAAGACCAGTTACTGTATTTCATCGCTGACATTATGGGGGATATTTTTTTCGATGAAATAAAACAATATTTGTTTCCTGAAAGGGAAATGTGCTGTCTGTAAGCTATCAGCAGTCAACAGTTGCTGCTGGCTAGAGCTAAAGGAGGAAAAAGAGGTGCGTTTTACTTCAGTGATATTGGAGGAATAATTTGTCATTCACAGTTATTTTTCAGAATTGGAGGGACCATCTGAAAGTCACTACAGGATAACTGCTTTATTGTACTATATTAAGCAATAACTTTAAAAATAAGGGTTGTGAAGATATTCTGATAAGTTGAATGCTGTGACTGAATCCAGATTCCCATTCTGCAGCAATCATCCATATAGGGGTGTGTGTGTCTGCCCATCAGTTTTGGGGCCTACAGCTATTTAAACACCATCAGGGTCAGATTCTGTAATTTCTGAACACTTTGCAGAATTTCATAAGTCCATTCATGCAGTATGCACAGAAGGTAAAAAAGTCATATGGGAATTGCTGAATCATGGCCTGAACCTCTGATTGACCACCTGAGGTGAGCCATGAGTCAGCCAGAGGAGCACAGGTGAAGGCAATTCACTGTGCTGCTGGAAGGGGTGGAGCCTGGCTGCACCTCTCCTAGACCCATTTAAGAGCTGACTGCCAGGGGGGATGGATCTCTTCTGGAGATCTACTTTGCTGGAGTTTCATAAGTGAGCCTAGGATACAGGTAAGCATCCTATATATTCTCTTTATGTTATTATAACCTGCTTTGCCTAATTCACTTGTTTACTTCATAATCATGGCATCTTAATATTCACTGATTGTATGAAAGTGAACATGAGCTTGGATGTGTTTGCATCTTTATTTGTTATTGACCCTACTTCATAACTTGGGAAAGACTGGTGAGTCATTACACGATTTGCTTCCTGGAAGACAGAACTACTTTATCTTGACAGATACTTGGTGTCAATGCAGGTCTGCATCAGAATATTTTTAGCTCAAATCATTACTGGAGATATCTGTCCCCAGGGTCTCCATAGGGCTCTGTGGGCCACAGCAGGAGCTAACCTTCCCAGAGGGGTTACAAATCAGTTTTTTCCTGCCCTACAGAAGTTTGCTTGAAATACGAAGTTCTAACAAGTTCACAATTAGTTGATTGGCTGTTTTTAATAAACTTTTGTGAGTATCAGCTTAGATGTTATTTCTTGCCCAGGAAATAGATATTACAGAGGAGTTCAAGGAAGCATTTTTATCTGTCAATAAGCAGGAGGAAATATCCAAAGATTTTCTTGGTAGAAAGCTGAGATAATGCTAATGCTTCTCCAACAACATTGAGAAGGTTTATTGGATGACCAGCAGATTGGTAAGGTGGCTTGTAGGACTGCTCAGATGGCTTGTAGATGGCTTCTAGAGATGTGGTTTAGTGAATGTGGTGGTGATGGATTGATGGTTGGAACATGATCTTAGAGATCTTCTGAGCTTAATGGTTCTATGAGAAGAACAAGTATGTACTGTCTAGATTCTACACTGATACAGTGCAACTATTTGCCCTTTCTATCATGGTAAGCCTGTACCAGACCTGTTCACCTTGTCAGTACAAGTGAGGCAGGCAGTTGCTGGGAGACCTTGACTTTTGGCTTTGAATACAGAGTATATCCAGAGCATGGTGTGCTCACTGCCTGCAGAAAGGTGCGGAACAGCAGACTTGCCTTCAGCATCCCAAGTAAAACTGTGTATCTACAAGTGGAGAAGGCAGAGTGATTTTGGAAGCAGCCTGCCTGTCAGAAAAAGCCTGTTCTTGGGCAGTCCATCAGTTTCTCCACAAGCTTCTGTATCTCTCGCTGCTCACAACTCATTTCTCTGCGCATTAGCTGTATTGAAGATGGGATGGTCTACAACTTTCTGACAGTTCCATTTATTTCTACTATTTTCATTTGAAGCCAAGCAACAAGCAGCAGTTGTTTCCTCTGCAGCTTGATGAATGTCAGTATTAATTAAAATTGTTCGGAGTCAGGTCGGGATTTTTCCTCTCTCTGCACCAGGCTGGCAGGGAGGAGAAGCCTGACAGGCAGGCGCAGCTGCCGAGCTGCTGACTGGGAATGTCGTCACTGAGAAGGAGGCATGGGAGTGGTAGCTGGCCTCTGACAAAGTGGATTGGAAATAGGGGAAGCATTTTGTCACCTGCACCGTGCTGCCATTCAGCACAATGTGGGGGAGGATGTCTGGATATGGGTCTTGAACTCAATCCTTTGCTCCCCTGGCTGGGAAGTCTGCAAAGACAGCTGTTCAGCCCATATGGAGGGGATGGTGCACCCCCACAACCGCTATCTAATGATGCTTTCCTGACTGACACTCCAGAGAGAGCCCTTGATTCAGGAGGGAAGGTCAACACAGCTCAGTGCCTTGTAGCATGTGGGAGGAAAAAGCAGAGGATGCATCAGGAGATGCCCCTCTTGCTGAACCTCCCTATTTTTGTGCACTCCCTTCTGACACCAATCCTGCCAAGACATCTGTAAACCCAACATCTTCTGTCAGCCCCAGTGGGTTGCATACAGCAATCAAAATTATGCTTCAGTGGCTGTAGATGTACTTATCTCCCATTGTGGCAGGTCTGAGTGCAGCCAAGGTGCCTCTTGGATGGCCGCAGTGCTAACATTCCCATCCCTGTCACAGCCATGAGCTCGAAGGAGGCCATTACCATATGCTGCAGTTACTTTTCATACAAAGATTATGGAATTATTTCCTTTTCCAGAACTTTAACGGTAACAAAGGAATGAAATAAGTGAGTGGAAATTAAATGCACACATTCTCCTGACTTTGACTGAGATCTGTGCTCCTCTATCACATGGACACATCTCAGCAGCCTCCTGTATGGGAACTGTTGAGTCATGGCCTGAACCACTGATTGACCACCTGAGGCAAGCATTGAGTCAGCCATGGAGCACAGGTGAAGGCGATTCAGCTGTGCCACCCCAAGGGGTGGAACCTGACTGCACCTCTCCTAGACCCCATTTAAGGGCTGACTGCCACTAGGAAGGATCTCTTTCTGGAGATCCCTTCTCTGTGGAGCTTTTCATTATGAGCCTAAATCTTTGGATATGGCTGAGCATTCCTTCTCTGTTTGTTCCTTTGCTGTCTCACTACAATACTCTTTCCAACTGTACTTTGTTGACTGCACACATCCCCAGAGTGTTTTTCTTAGGGAGAAAACAGTTCGGCTTGCAGAGCGATGCCAATTCCTCTTCTCAAAAGGTTCTCAAAACAAAGGATAAATGGTGGTTCTGTGGTTCTATACTAGAATTGTAGAACTGTAGAATTGTTTGCCCTGGGTTGGAAGGTATCTTAAAAATCAGCCAGTTCCAACCCTGCTGCTGGGGGCAGGGCTGCTGCCACCCACCAGCTCAGGCTGCCCAGGGCCCCATCTAACCTGGCCTTGAGCATCTTCAGGGATGGGGCATCCACAGCTTCTCTGGGCAGCCTCTGCCAGTGCCTCACCTTCCTCATTGTGAATAATTTCTTCCTTGTATCTGATAGAAATCTATACTCTTTGGGCTTAAAACTGTTAACCTTAGGTCTACGTGATTCTGAGAAACTGAAGTGGAAAAAGAGAAGGTAATAGGAAAGATGATGACCTCTGCATTTCAAAGGATGGATCCCTAGGAATGATGTGCTGCAAAGGTTTAGGAAGTGCAACTTAAGGCTTTTGTAAAATGTGATTAAGCAAATATCACTGTAAATGATGACCCTGTTTCCTTTCTGTGTTGATCTCACTGCACCAGACCCTTGCTCCACACCAATCACCAGGGCCCCACTACTTATCAGGGATTTTAGTCCTATTGTCCCACTGTAGTGAACAGTGAACGCTTTTCCATGGCCTACCTGTATCTGCCAGTGTGGTTTTTCTAGAAAGTCACTGGCTTCCAAAAATTCTTTTCTGAGAAGAAATTCATCACCCCAAGTGTGGAGTCTGAAAAAGAATTAAATCCTGAGTAGAACTGAGTGCTTTTTACAAGCATGACAAATAACCATCAGAACACTCCTACCTGTCCTCCTGATCTAACCTTACATGTGGTTAGGATTTCTGTCAGCATCTAGTTTCTGTACATTTCTGTTTAATAAAAATGTGTTATCTATGATAAATATGCATTGCCTAGGTCAAATGAATTTGATTGTGAGAACATACTCAGAAGTAGCATAAGGATTTAATTTCTTTTAAAAACATGCTCACAAAAAAGGAAAAAACCACAAACCCAAGCTGTAGTTATTGAATGCTGGTTTGAATTAAATTCTATTTGTTTTAATAAAAATGTAGTGGCCTGCATGTACATATATTTGTTTTAGTGGCAGTGCATTGGATCCAATAAAACTGTATTGCTTCACTGCTTATATCTCATTTTCAGAGAAAATGGATTAAATGGAAAAATGAACTAGGCATGAATCAGCCAGTCAGAGGTGTCTGCTAAACTCTGGTATTCAAATACATTTGGCTAAAAGAAAAAAATATATACTTTCTTACAAAACACTGTTTTTAAACCTAAATATGTTTTAATGTCGAGACTGCACATGAGGGGCTTAAATACCTCTATAAAAGAGAGCAGGTTTTGGAGTCAGGCTTGGCTGCAGAGAACTGGTGCATTTGCTTACAGCTACAGAAGTGGAAATCCAAGCTGGCTGGGTTACATTGGTGTAAATCAGGCTTGTTCTCAACAATGGCAGTCAGCTGATGGCCATATAACTGCCATGATGCTGGTCAAATGTGGATGGCCTCAGTGTGGGGGCACTCCTGTCCCAGTGCATGGGTGCAGGCAGAGACCATGAATGTTGCAGTTGGTGCTGGGGCACGTATCCTTGGGACAGGCTGCTAGCTGTCAAGATTTTCTATGGATCCCCTAAAGATCAGCCATTTCTGTGACCTGGAGACACTCATCTGCTTGGTTTGGCACCAGACCTTCCTGATGCCCACCCTTTTGAGCAGTGATGCTACCTGCACACATCACTGCAAGCAGGAAAGCCACCGTAGGCCAGCAAAGGGCTGGTATGGAGCTTCTGCTAAAAGGATGAAGAATCGTAGAATCATAGAACCATTTGAGTTGGAAGGGACCTTAAGGGTCACCCAGTCAAGTCCCCTGCAATTAATAGAAACATAAAGAACTCAATACCCTGTTGCACGCTGGCACACATCATCAGTTCTCACATGCAATTGTTTGCATGCTCATTTTCACCACCATGTCAAAGATCTTAAAAAAATAAAAAAAAAAAATAAAAAAATCATCCAGCGTATTTTCTAAATCCCTTAAATTGGATTTAAAAAGGAAAATGTTTTCCTTTTTATTTTTCCAGGCTTACCCTTTACAGTGAGGGCAACTGGAGCAGAGCTCTGTGCAAGGCCACTGATGTTGTAAAGGATACTGCTCAGCAGGCCAAGCGCCATCTGGATAATTGTTTAGAGGTGAAATGGATGCTGCTGGCTGACCTGGCTTCCCGCATACCCTGAATGGTTGTAACCTGACAACCAAACCTGAGCAATGCTTTGTTGAATGCCATCTTCTTTCTAGGTGATTGGTATCCAGTTGTGTGGAGCTAAATACACATTGTATTCCTTTGAGAGAAAACATGATCTGCATCATCTTGTGCAGTGTGTGCTGAACTGGGTGCCCCCAGGGCTGCAGAGCCAATCAAAGCAAGGAGAACTTGGTTGCGGCAGGAGCTGAGCTGTGGGAGAGGAGATTGATGCAGGCATCTCCAGCCCTGATTCCTCAGTAAACTGTGAATGAAGAAATAATTCAAGAAAAAGCAAACCAGCTGAGAGTGAAGCAATATTTGGTTAAAAATCCAGCTGTGGAGGCACGAGTACCTCAGTGAGCATCACCTACTGAGACCGCATGACCTTGTGGAAGTGGGGTAGAAGTTATAGGCTCTGTGGTGAGTTCATAAACCACAGAGCCAAGAGTAGCCAAATCAGGCTTGAGATTTCTGCAAGGGCTTCACTGCCATGCACACAATGGCAGTGAGGACTAGACATCATGGAGCATCTGGATGTAGCTCTGCACAGCCTGATCTAGTGGTTGGTGACTCTGAACATAGTAGGGAGGTTGAAACTAGATGATCTTTATGGTCCTTTTCAACCCAGGCCAGTCTATGATTCTAAGGTTCTATAATCTTAGAGAGTGTTGGGAAAGATCTGGAAGTGCCAACAAGGAGGATGGCAGTAGACTGCATGGGGGTGTGCAGTGATACAGATTCTGTGAGGGACCGAGAGACATATAGGGGAGTCTGTAATTCTTTATCAGTTTGGCATATTCTGCAATGAGAGAGTCTGCTCTGAAAATATGGGCTTTACCAAAACAAAGCAGGACAAAATTGTTTGTGCAGGTAATGAAAAGGGTTGAAGAGAGTTTTAATTAGATGTTGGTATAAATCTAGCTGTAGAAGAGTACATGGTCTGAGATGACACCAACTTCAGAGGTGAGAACATAAATTCTTTATCAGAGGGGGTCTGGATAAATTAAGGGAGGACAAGTCCCAACAGGGCTATTAAATTCCATGGTCCAGTTCTTCCTGGCGCTGGAAGCAGGGGGTGTAAGCGGGGGATTTACTAGGGCATCGTGTCACATGGTAGAAGTAAGTCCTTAACAGTCTCTTTCTTGATTCATGATCCCTGCAGCAGCCAGTGTGATGGAGGTGGATAAGGAGAGTTCCTTAAGCTGTCTGTCTCCAGAAAAGTCACCCACCTGGTCCTGTGTCCCAATTCTACCCCTCTCTTGGGGCTGGGGACACTGCAACCAACCGAGCTACCCATGCAGACATCTCCTGCCCTGCTATGTGGGAGATGCCTTGTTTGAGTCCTAAATATGTTTCATTTAAGCCCCGATGATGGTTTACTAAGTGCTATAATGTTTGCTAGGTCTCTCTTTACATTGCTGTAATTACCGTAATAAGCGGTCTTAACTGGCTCTTTTATAAGTTACAGCAGCATAAAAACATCTCAGTGTGCTTTCCTTTAATGAGCTACAGCTTCAGCATAATCTTCCTGACTCCATTTTCACTGGAGTATCAGTTACATTGCAGTGCTATGGGATGCAGTGGTGGAGATGCTGGCAACGTTTTAGAGAGGCCTTGCGGAACTTGGTGGCTCTGTCCATGGGTTCCATGACCAGCCAACCTTGGAGGGACATCACTGCCCTGGGAAGCACAGGTCACACTGCCAGCTGCTGCAGCATTGCAGGGAATGTAATACAAGCACGTGCGCCTCTTGTCCATATAAGAACATCATGGGATGAGTGATGACAGCAGGGATTGACACCCAAATGCTAGGGCAGAGGTTCAGTGCTGGGGCCGGTAACTGATACAAGTAGCTGCAGATGAGACCCCGGCATGGGGATTTGAGGGACAGCTGTGCCGGGATCCCTCCATCACTGGCACCAATCCACCATTCCCACCCAGCACCAGAGCATCCAGAGGTGTGTCTCTGTCCCCAGCAGCCCCACCATGTGGGCACGCAGCCCCTTCTAAAAAAGCCTCAATCAATTGCATCACTGTAACACCCCACCGACAGATGCATGGTTTGAACTGCTGACAGCAGATGGACGAACACTTGTCGGTGATCTGGTTCTGAGCGAGAGGCAGATTTACTTCCAGAGCCTGCTACTCTTGTTTCTCCCAATGAAGCTGCAAGGCAGGCATACATCTGTGGGTTTTTTCCCTTCCAAACATGCCTATGCTGCAGGGAGATCCATCACTGAAAACTATGGGGTTTTGGGCCTGTTTCTGTGGGAAGAGGGAAGACAGAAGCTGCTGCTCTGCACAGCACTGGAAACCACTCAACTGCACATGAGTGTGGGCTGAATTACCAAATCTCAGCCATAGTCTGAGCCAGGCTGGAAGCTGGCTCACCAGCAAAGAGCTGTAGAGCTGCAAAGCAAGGTGAAAAGCACTGAATGAAAATCACATTTAGGTGATTTTAATGTGCACCCTATACATAATAACGTCCATAAATTGCCATCTGGGCAAGGGTGATCTTAGCCCCATCTGCACCCCAGCTATTTGGGGACATGGAGCGAAACCCCTCAAGGTCAGCTGTGCTGCTCCTGACTTAAAAACCAGCAAGTAAAGCACGTCTGCAGAAGTAGTGGTGCTTTCCCTGCTCGTTTTTTATAAGATCCAGCTTAGGATAATAAAAACTCGGAGTAGATGGAATATTTTGAGATGCTGGCTTTTTTTTTTTTTTTTTTTTTAGAACACAAGGGAAACACAGAGGAAGTGGAAAAAATCAGCTGTGCCTACTGCAAGGAAATCTGTTTATGCATGATTTGAAAGCAGAGCAGAGTTTTACTTCATTCTATCTTGTGCTGTGTTTCATATTTCATGCTTTGGTTAACAGTTATTTAGTGTGTTCCTAGAGACTGTGACAGGTTGTCCTGAAAGTTTGTAGACTCGCTGAGCTCTCCACAGAGCATGGCAGAATGATACGAGCAAAGAATTCATTCCTTTTTATGCAAGGAAAAAAAATCATTTTAGTATTTTAAAGACCCAATCTCTCCTTCTGACATTGTAACATGAAATGCAAAGTTACCAATTTGGGATGTCTCAACCACTTTAAGAAAATAAAACAACTTTGTGTGAAGTCTCCTTTCCATAGACTAACTATATACATCTAGGAAAATTTTGTTTTCCTTTTAAAATCAAGTGGGAAAAAAAAATGACTGTGTTATTTTTTCCCCAAAATTCCCTTTTCAGCCGCTTCTAATTGTAGCCTGTTTCAAGGGTTCTGTAAGTGCTTTTTCTTCCCAGTCCTATCTTGCTGGGGAGGAAAGGCACAAGAATGATTCCTATGCTGGTCCATTCATGCATGTCTTCACTGTGTGATGACCAGGACTGATGCCACTAAAAATGTTCTAATAACATAGGGAAACCCCTGTAGCTGCTTGGAGTGGCTGAGTCCCTCTCATTCTGCATGAGGGTTTCCATGGGGTTCTGCAGTGGGCACCAGCTGGGCTGCCCACAGCCCTCATTGTGTTGCAGGTGCTGGTGACTGCGAAGAGAGGGCAGGAGACCTCTTTTCCAGCCAGGTCAGCTATGCTCTCAGTGGGATGCTTTTCTCTTCTTTCTGCTTATTGCTCACGAGTTTTTCAAGGAAACCAGCATTTCCACCGTACATTTTTTAGCAAAGGTCCTCTCATGTATTTTTCAGAAGCAGTTTTCATGCATGGCATGTTGCTCCTGAATTATCCACTTGGCTCCTTCCTGCTCCTCCTCAGCTTTTATCATGAAGATTTGCTCTGTCAGTGATACAGAAAGGCAGCAACTGGGATAACTGATATTTATTTTAAACTGCAACTTTACGTTACAATTGTTTTTGTCTCTGCCTTTATGTGCTGGATATCTTGTTGGTCCACAAGCTGTTCTGAACAACAGCTGTTTTTTTGATCATGTGAAGAAAAACTCCAGTAACTCAACCTCATTCTGCAGCTCTCCTCCTAGCTCAGGTCTTCATTCTCACTGTAACTGGGAAGCACTGTTCTGTAAATACATCCTCTACTCAGATCTACATGAGTTATTGGTAAGACTGTCCTTTTTGTAGAGTCACAGAATCACTGAGGTTGGAAAAGACCTCTAAGATCATCTAGTCCAACCATCAACCCGTCCCCACCATGCTCACTGACATGTCCTTCAGAGCCACATATACATGGTTCTTGAACACCTCCAGGGATGGTGACTCCACCATCTCCGTAATCATCCTGTCCCAATGTATCACCACTCTTTCTGAGAAGAAATTTTTCCTAATATCCAACCAGAATCTCTCACCCTATCACTGTTACTTGGGAGAAGAGGCCGAAACCCACCTCACCACAACTTCCTTTCAGGTCCTTGTAGAGATTGATAAGGTCTCCCCTGAGCCTCCTCTTCTCCAGATCAAACAATCCCAGTTACCTCAGCTGCTCGCCATAAGACTTCTGCTCCAGACCCCTCATAGCTTCATTGCTCTTCTCTGGACATGCACCAGGGCTTTTATCTCTTTCCTATAGTGAGGGGCCCATAACTGAGCATAGGACTTGAGGTGTAGCCTCACCAGCACCAAGTGCAGAAAGACAACAATACATAATTATGTACAACCATGTTATGCAAAAAGAGAGGTAAGCAGCAGTGTGAATGGCAGCAAAAACTCATGGAGAGCGGGTGTCCTGTCCAAGATGTGGTTGACTGATGCTGACTCGTTTCTGATCTATGGCTTTATCTTTCACATCCAGAGGATGCAGCAGGAACTGTGTTAACTGGGCTGTGGTTTGAAAATGGATACCCTTTGCCAAGACTTCACATCTCTTTTCTGTTTGCCTCCCATAGACATTCAAAAGACGGAGTCTGGCTTGCATGAGTACCCATGGAAAGCCCGTTTGAAATCTGCACGCTTGAATTCTGCCATGTAGCAGAAGTGCTGGGCTGACATGACAAAGCTGTAGCAGAGCCTTGAGCTCAAACCTGCCTAATGAGGGACAAAATCCTTCATTCACCATTGCTGCAATCATTTCTCTTCATTGTGATCTCTACAATTAGTACATTTAGAAAGGATAGTGCTTAATGCAGCTAGGTCCCAGCTCCTCAGGACACTTTCCTGAAGCCCAGGCACCTGGCAGTTAGATGAGGGTTTGGCCATGCATTTGGCTGGCCCATGGCTTCAGGTGCTGTTATTTTAAGTGAAGGCAATGAAAAGAAGATTTGCATTTCAACTGTGCTCATACGCAGCAGAGCTTGTGATACCATCACTTTCCTGGGGCTGAAGCAAACCTCCTCCAGCAGATCAAAACCTATTAACAGCAACCCAAACAGCTTTTCCTGATCACAAAATCTGCACTGATGCAGGGGGAGGAAAAACCCAGCCCTACGTGGTGGAGTTGGTGA